CTTAACAGAATGAGTAAATCCTGATTGAGCTAATCGAATAATTTCTTCCGATTCTACTTCATGCCTTAAAAAACACATTAGTTTTTCAAGCGTTCTTTCCGAACTCTTTTCCTGTCCTTGTTCAGAAGTTCGACTCCGCTCCCAGGTAGGCACCACTCTACTAAAGGTTCCCAAGAAACCAGCAAACTTTTCCTTGGTGCGTCCTAAGCTTTCCAGCGCTCTTAATTTACTTTCTATACTATCGTAATGTACTCCTAAGTCCGACGTCGTTTCAGTTGTTGTAGCATTCTTAGTAACAAGCCCAAGTAAATCTCTTACATAGATCTGCACCAGAAGGTCTTCTCTACCAAGTCTTTCTTTCAGCTGCTTGATAGCTTTGGGATAATTCGCGGCGGTAACAGGTAAACTGTTCAAAAGTTGAGCTGCGTTTGAGCCAAGTACTGCACTTTGCACTAAGTACAAAAAATCTTCCGGAACAATATCCGCATCTTCATGAGTTTTTGAGAATTGGCTTCAAAAGCCTAAAAATTCTCTTGCATCTCCAGAGAATTTTTTCAGTTCAAGTTTAGGAAGTTTGAACTTCCTGTTTTTATTTTCTTTAGGATCCGAAATCGAAATTGAAGCAATATATGTAGTAACATTCATCGAATTCAACAGTCCAATTTTATTCTAAAGTTTCACCTTTAAAGCTATAAAGGAATCTCTGTATCCTTCAGCCGTATTAAATTCATTCTCAAAATCAGCTTCCTTGGTTTGTTCTAAAACACTGATTTGAGTACTGTCCAGGCGTTCAAATTTGTCAATTAGTTGCCTAACAATACTTGCAATCTCTCAGGATCCGTACAAGTAGACAATTCTTCTTCTACAATCTTCGTAGTTAGCGTAAACGAAGTACGTTCACTTTTACGTTTTTCCATTAACAATTCCATTTTAACAAAACGCCTAACTCAAAACTACTCGAAATCACACAAACATCCTGTCGCCGAACGCCAAACTTTTAGGTTTAACTGGCTGCTAAATAACGTTTGCATAATCCGAGTTCAGAAAACAATACATGTATTTTACATATTTTTAAATAAATAACGTTCTAAAACAACATGTTTCTTCTACACAATCAACCGACGCTCTCTCCAGAGCACTACGCCATCAAACTTGGCACTCATCCAAAAAGTACAAATCCAAGAATTACAGAAGTGTTGTTGCCACGCAAGAAAAGAAATCTATTTGGAAACTTCACACAATAATAAAACAAAACATACTTTCGAAAAACAGACAATAATAATAAAGTAATAATAAAATTCTTATTTAAAAGTAAACAATATTGTTTTGATTATGCAACAGTTTAACTTCCCGGCGATGTTGTTCCTACGATGAGCCACTACCTGGATGTAGCGCAGTGCGGCGTCCAGATAAGTTACCTTCGAATATCTTTTCGGATGATAGTAACTTTAGCTCTTAAAGAAGAGTCCATTACTGCCGCCACTTATTCAGAAATCTAAAGGGCTTTAAAATGGGGCTTCTCAATACTTGGCAACCTTCGCCACGCGAGATGGCCACTAATTAGTTTCTTGCTTCCTTGTTGGAAAGTAGTCTTAGCTTTCGTGCCTCTGCAAATTTTTCGTACGTAGCCTTCACCACGGCAGTTCCAGTACTTTAGGTTAGCTTAGGTTATTCAATTACGGCAAAGCCTCGAGGGCTATCTGCCTAAGGGGAGGGATGCCTTCGTGGAGGACTTTCTAAGGGAAACTGGCTCGTATACACGTTACACATGGGTAAAACCACGAAACCACCCATGAAGCCAGCCCGTTCGCGGGATTCGAACCTCAGACCGAACTACCAGTGTTCAGCGACTTTACCGTTCGGCCGCTGCTGGGCTCCAGTACTTTAAGGCGGGAGAATTGCGTCCAGCTGTCACTATAGATTTCTTCAAGCAATCAACCTCCTTAGCGATAGCAGCAGAGATTCTGTCATCGGTTTGTTGTTCAACAGCACAAACTCCTTCAATGTGCTGTTCGGCATCAGAAATTGTCTTCAATAAATCTAACTTTACTTTCAACCGTATCTCTTCTGCTTTGCATATTTTCGAATTTGCTTTCTGTTACAGTAGTAATTTGTTTTCATTTCTTTTGACATGCTTCAATCTTTTCTGAAGCTGACTTGACTGCTCGGTCCATCTTTTCATGCTGCGTTTTCATCTCTACTTTAACAAACTCGACAGCGCCTTTCATCTCTTCTTGTAATGTAGCAAAGGCTGTCACTTGCTATCTTAGTTCCTCCTCCATCGCTCTTGTCACCTGCATTCAGATCCCCTCCTATAATCAAAAATTGTTACATACATCGGGTTCGCAATGGATTGAATGCACGCAGAACCGATGATCGCCCAATAAAATTTATTTCTCCAAAAGAAAGATTTTACATTTCTGGAACTTTCTATAAAAGTAGTTGTACAGCTCTTCTCAGAATGACGAAGCATAATGAGTACGTTATCATCAAACTACTCAAAACATTAAACACAACACAATGTGAAGAGTATCTAAAGATAGAATATCGCAAGGACATCTCTCAATGCTCAGAAGTTAACACTGAACTAAAAACCGAAAATTGATCCTTTCTCCGGTCTTATATTTTTCTCCGGTCTTATATTTCTTTTAGCCGCCGAGAAATTTCCTTAATTCCATCCATTTCTTGAAATTACTGGGAGTGTTACATACGCATTGGGCCAATTACAGTAATAGAGAGACCGGACCAACATATCGCCAAGTACGACTTTTGGCAATTGTCGCCAAACTGGCAACCGTTGAAACAATCGCCAGCTTGGCGCTACGTCCACTTACCTCAGTGTTAAATTGACGTTCCCTTGTAATCTTATTATTATTATTATTATTATTTTAAGAAGAACTTCACGTTTTTGAGACCTATCATGTTACTTTATACTAGAGATACTACAATCTCACATAGAATTTCATTAAAATTCTCTACATATGTACAAAATTCGTAGTAATATGAAAGCATTTCAGCTTGAACAAAAAAGGATAGTGACGTAAATATTTTAATCCTTCTTATTATACTTTTATTTTTCTGTATTGCAGTACTTTGTATTGCTTTATTTAATAATTCATTGTTCTTTGGAATAGTAATTTTATAGTTTATTTTGTGTTTAATCTAATTTTTGGCTACATTTGCTTTTATTTAAGCGTTTATTTGTTGTATGGGATTATAGATCTTTTAATTTTGAATGCAGCGGTTTTGGAGTTGTGAAAATAGTTAACTTGGAACAACATTATTTCATCATGGGCCTTTGTGACAATATTTTTCGCCAAGTTGGCGACATTTTGTGATTTTCTTAGAAGATTCGAGAAAACCCATTTTTGAAGACCTATAGCCGATACTTGCAAAAGTTTCCAGATCCATGCTGCAGAGTATAAATACTGATCGGAAAATTAGAAAGGTCAGTTACAGTAGTAGTAGGCTACTGAAAATTCAATTGATAAGCTCTTTCTGATATTTAATCTGTTCAAAGAAATTTTTATGAATAATACTGCTGCTGAGCAAAATGTTAATGTCTAAGTGCTTTATGTTGTGGCGAGATTATTAGTAACCTTATGTAATATTCTTTATTGGAAAATTTATATTTGTGAATAGGATAATATTTATATGTTTATTCTTGCTGAACTTTAGTATGTCTGTTATGCATACTTCTAATAACTCATTCTACCTGTAGGCTGTGTTGTGAAATTCCCTTTCCTAGTTATATTTTATCTCTTCATTTCTGTCGCTAGTGTTTAATGGTTATTCTACTCTATCTTTAAATTACTAGTAATTCACCAAATGCTCACACTGATCCTTGTTACGTCTAAATATGTTCTCTTGCAGCATGTCACCAGCTCGTCAGATGCTGACTCTCTCACCATCGAAAATTACTCACTCAATGCTTAAGTTTTTGGCATTTCTTATGCATCTTTTTTTCAAAATTAAACTATCACTGACTTGTTAGAACACAACTGTCAACTTATATCTTGTCAACATTAAAAGATGCACCAGAGTTCAACCTGGGGTAGGGCCTTTGGCCCAGGCACCCTGGTGCTAGCGCCTCTTCCATTGTGAGACAGGTCAGTTGTAAATCAACTGGAAGACTCAGTGTTTAGCCACACGAGTTAGGATTTACCCTGAATGTGAGTTGAGGAGCTCTGCAATTTAATGTGTGTTCTAAGGAGGAACTGTTAAATACCTCAGTTCTTGAGTTAATTCCAGCCAGTACTGTGTTGTGTGTGCTTATTTTCCTAATAAACTGTTCAATTCTTCTTGCTTATCTGGACTAATTATTTGAAAAGACATCAATGATCCTGTAGCTCGCAGCAACATTAAATTGACAAAAAATTAGATGAGCTCATCTAAATTAGTTATTGATTTTTTGATGCATTTAGAAATTTATTCAGTGCTTATGTATTTTCCTGTAGATCATTTCTGATATACAAAAACTGTCATCAAACAGTGCGACTTAAAGGCGAGAATGAATACAGGATGATTCAATAACATATGAAAATGTGTTTTCATATGTTATTGAATCACCCTGTAGATATCAGGCCCTTGTTATGAATGTTGCAAAATTATGTCCTAGCAAATATATGTATATATTATTGTTATCCTATCTTGCTACTATGGCAGTATATGGCAGTATCAAATAGCTTACCAATTTCCATACCATACAATGTATCAGCATGGATACATATATTTCCTATCAGAATCTCCATTAATAAAACGAGTTATGAACACTAAAGAGCCTACTAGAAGTTCAGCAGTACACATGAACAAATACGATGCAGAAATTATCTGATGTGCTCACATCTAAACTTCATATGGATGACATCTCTGTTGGAGCCAATATGAGCAGCATTTAGCTTTCTACTTTTATCATTATTTGAGGAAGAAAAATCAACCTAACTATGCTTAGAAGTAACAGTTATTAGATAGGTATTTTACTTCCAATAAACTATATAGCATCACTGATTCATATAATTTTAATATTGTAATGGACATTCAATTGCATTTCTTTTATGAACATGATGCAGAATATTTTGTCTGTACAAAATAAGGGTAATATACAATTCTACATAGAACAAATCAGCACAGTAATTACAAAAAGCATTTTTTTAAGTTACACTATTAATAAACATTTTAATGAGTATTTCAGACATGATGTATCAGGTGAATATGAAATATAATTGTCATTTATAAAAGCATTGTTTCAGGCTCTTCTAGCAATTTTTTGAAGTGGGCTAGCCACTGGGCTCCTATAGCTCCATCCACAACTCTGTGATCGCAACTGAGAGTGACACTCATGACCTTGGCTGATCGGAAACTATCGTAGTCACACAGAAAAAAAGAAAGTATATTGTTAATAATCAAACAATAAAAAGCAAAAATACACATTATATGTAGAAAACTAATTCATGAGAAAAGTAAAACTTTTTATACAGAATTTACATGTTATTTATCTGGGCACACATTGAGAACATAATACGTTATTATAATAAAACATTATTATACATCGCAAAATTAAACAGAAAATAGTATTTAACTCTTCAAAATATTTATTTGTTGTCAGCAATCAAAACCAAACAGAATAAGCAGTGCAGTTTTTATTTGAAATTTATTTGGAAAGCAAATACATGTAGTATATAGTTGTAGTATCCGTACGTGCAACACAACCACCAAAGGGCCTCACCGATGCGCCAGCAACGAGAGCGAGGTAAAAGAGGAGTATGACAGAGTGAGAGAGAGAGTAGTCTATCCCACGCGGAGGTGATAAGATGTCTCCACAAGAAGGTGGTAAGACGTAGGTCTACACGTGAAGGTGTTAAATAATGAAGTGCATATTTCCACGAAGAGGTGGTAAATTGAACTGCATAATATGACAGCAAGTGCAAGTAGGCACTAAGCTGCTATGTTATAAAATTCTAAAAGTGATAAAGAACTGCGTTTATATCTAACAAGCGTGAGAAGGTGCAATAGCACTTGTATTTAATTCAATCTGTACCTTCTTCTGTTATTTTTATTAAATGTTCTATGGTATGGAAAACGTTGGAATTGTTATTTAGCATCTTCAACTCCCCTACCACATACATGTGGTTGGGAAGTTGAAGATGCTATCTTTAGGGAAATAACACTTCCACACCACGGACATTTAATGAAGATTAAAGAAAAGGTACAGATTGAATCGAATGACAGTGCCGTTGCGCCTTCTTGCGCTTGTTGGATACAAACAAAGTTCTGCATAACTTTTACATACTTTAAATAGTTGCTTGGCGCCTACTCGCGCTTACTATCATATACAGTTCTTCAGTTACCACCTTCGCATGAAATCGTACAGTTCTTCAGTTACCACCTTCGTGTGGAATCATACAGTTCTTCAGTTACCAACTTGGCGTGGAATCATACGGTTCTTCAGTTCCCACCTTCATGTGGAAACATCTGTTTATATGAGTGACATCCTACTCTTTTCTCTCGCTGCAGGTGCACAGGTGATGCCCTTTGGTGGCTGTGTAGAACTAACTGTTACCACATACATAGATAGGAATAACTCATTAAAAACCCAAATTTGTTATAGTATTCCTTTACAGTGGAACCTAAGACCTTTTTAAATAATTCAGAGATCAGAAATATAACTTTCATCACTAACAAATCGGTTCATAAACAAATTACGTGAACAAAAAGTGTCTTGGGTGATGAATGGTATCTTGAATTTTAGACACTCAAGTTAGCAATAGATTTTCAAAGTTATTTTGAAGTAACCTCTGATACACAGTTAACATATAGGGATTTCTAGAAACATCAATTTAATATTTTTCTTGCTTAAATCTCATTAAGAAAACATGGCATCAAATTGATTTATAGGACCATGAATTTGACCTGGAAGAAATTATAAATAGATTGTGCTGCAAACACTTTTTTCTTTACAATCATATTTTGTTTCTATGCAAAACCACTGGCTTGGAAGTCAGAAAACGAAGCTCAACCATGAAAATACCATGAAAATAAGCTCAACAAGAAGGAGCTGGAAGAACTTCAGAAGCAACAACAAAAGACGATTGTGGAGGAAGCAGCTTCAGAGGATGAGAAAATGACCCTAATCCTTTGATTCATAAAATTTGTACAAAAGGGGATAAGGTGCAAAATTTCATACAATATTATCACCCTAATAAAGCAGTACCAAGCTACTGCACAAGCAGTTTTAACACCAACCCATGCTTCACTATAGAAATATTTTAAAATGTAGACAACAACAAAACACAATGGGCAAATTTTAAGTTCAGTGAGTCTTTGGCAAAGTAAACACAGAGAGACAAAGACAGCCACAGAAAGGCAGTTACCTGATGTTTTATTGAAAAGGGACTCCTTACTCAAACAATAACATCTCTTAACTTTTCTCTTCTTCATCCCTATCCATTTTTATACTATCCATTTTCCCTCCGTGTACGGATATAGTAAAATTAAATTTATGTCTATTTTATCTGCTTAGCATCGTGTTTAATTTTTTTTTTAAATCTGAGATTTAATTTTTTTTTGGTTTTGTAACATGAACATGTGCACAAAGTACTGTTATAAAGCCCTAAAAAAGCAATCATTTGTGAACCAGAAATAAATTGACCAATTTTACATTAATTCCTACGATGAAAGATTTCAATTTATTAATATTACAGATGAACAAAAAGTGTCCTTTTTATTAATATTACAAACCTTCATTCAGATAACTGTATATTTGTCATTTCTGTCTTTTATATGCATTTTTATGAAAATAGCAACAAATCTCTACAATTATAGTGGTAAATCTATTTTGTCATTTTTTTTTTTTTTTTAAATTTAATTCAGCAGTTTCAAACTGATGGCGTGCTGGTCATATGCAGGCCCTGAAGCAATTTTATGCAGCCCTCAAGACATTTCAATTACATGTTTGTTGCAAATGTGGTATTGGAAAAATTTCAAGATTCTAGTCATTTGAAGTCTGACTTTATATTATTAACAAAAACAAACAATGTACTAGAAAACATATTAATGGAGTTAATTAATCTACAGAATGTTGTAAATCTTATTTTATTAACATGTATTCGCACTTGTCAAAAAAAATTAATATATAAAGAGGCTCAGTTATAAATTTTTGGACCCAGAATAAACACTTTGTTTGGCAATACTAACATATGACTTTGTTTGGGAATACTTATATGTGATCAGCATTTTTTTACAGCTGAAAATTATAAGACAGAACATTCATTCTTTTGATTATAATATTGCTAAGAGATAAGAAATTAAAATAACTTAAAAATCAAATGAATATCTGATTTCTAAATAGCAACACAAACAAATTTAACAGTGAAGGAATATATCATTTTATCAGCAATCAGAATCTGATGAAGTAAAATACGTTCAGTAAACAGAACAGAATACTAACTGAAAAGCATTAACAATTGAATTAAGCACGAAACATTAAATAAAAAAAAAATCAAGTGCCAAATTAAAAAAATTAGTATAACAATGTTAACAATCAAAACAGAAAGGACCTGTGGCTAGTGCACTGCACAGCAGCACCACAGGTTCGGGGTTCGATCCCCAATTTGAGTGGGTCCATAAAATGAGTAGTACCAAGTTCGCTTGGAGACTAAACACAGGGTGTTGCCACTCATCTTGTATTTACCACTTCCTATTGCCTTTTCTAATTAATTAACTTGTTATTGAGTTGGCGGAATTGGCAACAGGAAAGAGAGAGATTGGAATTCTGTCCATGTTTATGTTGCTTATAGTTCCACGTACATGATTCATGATAAAATTAGCTTATATTGAAATATCTTCTTCAGTCTAAAGTGGCATCTGAAGACAAGACAGAGTTCGTATTTTGCATTTGAAGAATTCGGAATTTGAAATTATGAAAGTGTACAGGTACAAATGATTTAAATTACTGCTTATAAGTATACGGTATGCTGTTTACGATGGTAAAGTGATTTAAGTTTAAGAAAGTATAATCACTTTAATTTCTTCAGTATAAACAAAAATTAAGAATTTATTACGAATCATTTTAAGTGTACATATAAATATTTATGCTCTGAAAATAAAACCAAAGTCGTTAAAAGCTTCATTTACATCTACCTCGAATAAGTTGAAGCAATATTTGGCAACGCGATGGCGATAAGATGTGCGCGTTGAACATTCAGTTACAAGATAAATTTTTACGTTTAGATGGTATTTAGAATAACATTTTGTCATTACTTGTAGAAAATACTGAGGCTGTTGCTGAATACGAAGCTGATTTGGAAAGTTCTGCAGAGCGTAATGTGGTAAAATTAAAATTACCTAAATTTGAATTTAAAATGTTCTCGAGTAATCCCAAATAATTTTTAACATTTTGGAATATATTTTCAAAAATACATGACTCAGAGGAACTCACTGCTATAGACAAATTCCAGTATTTATACCAGTCTATGGTGCCTTATTCGACAGCTGCTAGATTAACATCCAGTTTCCCAGTAACAGGTGAAATTAATCCAAAGGCCGTCCAACAGCTGAAATTAAGATTTGGAAGAGTGCAAATATATGTCCGCGATCTCCTTTCACTGGTTATGAAAAATGCTACGGCTGGGAAGAATGCCCCTGATTTAGCCACCCTCTAGGATATGCTAGAGACAAAATTAAGAGCATTGGAAAGTTTAGGGCACACAAAAGAAAAATTTGCTGACTTTTTAGAGCAATTGGTGAAGTCTTTGCCAGAAAATGTTCTGTGAGCATGGGAAAGAAGTAGAATTTCAGAAAATACTAATGAAGCTACAAGTCAGAGATCCCTGAAAAAAACTGATGTCCTTCTTATGCCATGAAGTTGAATCAGAAGAGATGATATGTTTAGCTCATGAAGGATTCGGTAAAGATAGGGAAAATAGTGCTATTCGGAAAGATTGTTCAAAATCTGTCCACAAAGATGGACCCACTGTGGCTATGTTAATTTCAAGCACAACTGGAACAAAACTTTAATTATATTTTCCTGTGACTGCCCTCATCTAAGTAAAGACTGTCAAAAATTATCCGAGATGAGTTATGGGGTCAGAAAATCACAAGTTATAAAGAAAAGATGCCGTCTCATTCGCCTTAAGTCTGGTCACATGGCAAGAAAGTGTCAGAGTAATGTGAGATGTTTAATTTGTCAACGGAAACATTATGTATTTCTTTGCCCAGATTTATGCAAGGAAACGTTTTCGTCCAAGGACAGAACGGCCGATAATGAGCAAAAGTCTACAAAAACATTGCTAACAAATCTTCCCTCTGAACAAAAAATATATCTCAAAACCATTATGATCAGACTACGAAATGGTGACAAGG